GATTTTGATTTTTTTTAATGTGCTGACCACAGTCTGAATTATTTTGAACTACTGGTAAGAAGTTTCCAAATATCATCTAGGCTTCCTGGGGGTCCACTGACTTTAAAAGTTCCGGTTTTCATCCCCCTCACCCCACTTCATCACCACCACCACTAGTGATATCATTCTTACCAGGATGCCCATGTATGTGAGCATTTCTATTTATGCAGGGAATGATAGACCTTATTTGAGAAGCTTTCCCCAAACCCCCCACCCTAGGCTCATGTAAATAGGTAGTTGGGAGAGGCAGCCCAGCCAACCTTGGTATGAGTGGGGCAGGCTCAGAAAGACCAAGGATTTGGAGAAAGAGATTAATGTTTGTTGGGTTTACAAAAACCTTGCGTTCAGCAGATCCTAGCTACTGTCACTGGGAATGCAGCAGACTTGAATGTGTAAGCCACAAGCTTGGGTATGCAACATTTGTGAATCTTTAGCATTTCTAAACTTGTCTTATGCCCGATCATCTTACTCTGATCACATACAAAGTGCTTACAGCAGCCTTGAGACTCCTTGTCATTGCTTAGAATTCACTCCAGCTACACAGACCTTTTTACTATTCTTTGAAGACACTGAGCCTCCTGCCTCAGGGCATTTGCACTGGCTGTTCCTTCTACCTGGAATGGAACATGCTTCCTCAGATATTCACAGGCCTCAGATTTTCTCTTCACTCAAATTTCTATGTTATTGTCTCTATCAGGAAGCACATGTGCTCACTCTGTGTAAAGTAGCATGTGTATACCCTTTATCCTGCTTTCCCAGCATTTATTACTAGTTGGCATTATTTATATACTTGTTTGGTTGTTGCTGGTCTTTCTTTACTGGTATGGTAGCTCATGAGAGCAGTAACTTTGTTTTACTTGTGGATGTGGGCCCTAGTACCTAGAATGGTGCCTGACACATAGTAGGTGCTCAATAAACATTTGCTGCTCTATTTCACAAAGACTAACCCCATTGCTTCCTCCACCAATGTCTACTTATGACTCAGTCAGAACGAAGTCTAATGTATTATTTTTCCTCCAGGTTTCTAGGGTGACCTTTTCTCGGATGCACTTTGGTAATGAAAACCCCCCAGCATTTCTACCTAGACTGGTTTTGTCACTGTTCCAATCTCTTTGACTACTTCTGGCTCTGTGCCATGTTTCTGTGAATTACACAATAGGTGCTCCCATTACTATATTTTTGTTATAAAAGAATAGACTATTACCCACAAAAAAAAATTGTTTGTCTAAGGTCAGACTCATGGGTTTCTTCATATAGTCAGATGTTTCCCTCTGGTTTCTGCTGTACGTGTTAAGCCAACAGTTTGCCAGCCTCCTTTCCTTTCACCCCTGTCCTGTCTTTGTCTGGATTTGTGCCCAGCAGCCTTGTATTTTTTCAGATATAGATTGTGACTTGTCACTTTTTGGTAGGTGACACGATTAACTTAATAAATTGTGAACAGCATTTTAAGAAAAAATAGTACAGAAAATATTGAAAATGTTTCTATTTTGAAACTGTGGGATATATAATCCAAAAACTTTGAGAGCACCACTCTGGCGTATATAGGTTGAAAGAAGTTTTAGCATTATTTTTCCCTTTACCTTTAGAATGTTCTGGAAGGAGGGGTTTTTGCACTCCTGGCTTGTGTTGGGTTGTAGAAAACAGGCAGTGCGCCCTTCTAAAATTTCCCCACCAGAGTGGTGGGCACACTTTTTCCTTTTCATAAAGGAAATACTCTATTTCATAAAGCAAATACACCAAGGGCACTGAAATTGAAAACGTTCTTTGCATGAACACTCCATTCAAACCCCTGCACTAACAGACGTGATCAACCTAACACGGCTGCCTGAGAACGCGTCCCTGAGATGGACCAGTCCTCCTTTTGTGTTTCTGACTGGAAAAGCTCAAGACTGTCACAAGAATTTACCATTTGCTGTAGCCAACACCCGATGATAGGCCCCTGACCTCCCTTAGAGCATTTATTAATAAGGTCTTACAGTAGTAAATCTGTCCTCTATTCCTTTGAGATATACACGTTTGCATTTCCTATAGCCCAGGAGTGTCTTTTGCAAGGACCTGATAAGCCATTCCTTTGAATCTATCTAGGAAGTAGACCTGCCAGTCTCTGTGGGAGGACAGAACCCTAACATTGTCAGCTAGCAGACACAGCAGGGCTAATCACATTTACTGACCAATGCTTTATAATTTTTCACTTCTCTGCCTCTACTTCAATGCCCACCTGCTTTCTCTCCCCTGCTCTAGTCAGGGGTGCCTGGGTGGTTCAGTTGGTTAAATAGCTACTTTCAGCTCAGGTGATGATCCCAGGGCCTGGGACTGAGCTCCAAATCAGGATCTCTGCTCATCAGGGAGTCTGCTTCTTTGTCCCTCTGCTGCTCCCTGTGCTTGTGTGCTCTGTGATTGATAAATAAATAAATAAATAAATAAATAAATAAATAAATAATTAATTAATTAAGAAAATAGCAGAATGGGGCTTGGCTCTTTATGTCAGTAGTTACTGGATAAAATCTGTTTTCTCTGCTTTAACTGTGTGTCTAGCTTTATTATTGACAGTATGTACACACACACACACACACACATACACACACACACACTCCTCCTAAGGATAATGTTGCTCCTCAAAGACAGCTGAATCTTGTCATCCTCATTATCCAGAGTGTTGCTCCTGTTTATGCTTATTTCCATATGTCATCCCTAAGTCATTATTAGTAAAGTCTTATTCAACTGTTTCAGCCTGGTCTGTGATGTCCTTTGGGAAATTAAGAGCCACGTATAGGACTCTTTCCTTACAGAGATGAGAGTTCGATCTATGATATTCAACTCTCTGTCCCCACTGGGAATTTCTTCCTCTACTGCAAACTTAGGGGAATTGGGGTAGTTTTACCAGGGGAAAAGGAAAGTTTTCTTACACACAAACCTTTTTTAAAGAATTTGTAGGAACGCCTGGGTGGCTTGGTGGTGCGCGTCTGCCTTCGGCTCAGGGGGTGATCCTGGAGTCCCAGGATCGAGTTCCACATTGGGCTCCCTACATGGAGCCTGTTTTTCCCTCTCCCTGTATCTCTGCCTCTCTCTCTCTGTCTCTCATAAATAAATAAAATCTTTTAAAAAAAATAAAGGATTTGTAGTCAGGAAGTCTATCTTCTTTTGCTCTTTTTCCAAACTTCAGAAATTAGGGGACCCGAGAAATACCAACGTTCTAGGATAGCTAGAGGTCAACACAAGAAGGGTAAAGAGGTTTCTATGTTTGGAGACCCCAGGGGAGGCAGCAGGTTAGGGACCAGAGATGGGGCAGGCATGGGTGTCCAGGTAGCCTGCCGTGCAGGAATCAATAATAAAGGAGTTATCTGAGCACGCAAGAAAATGGAAATCCCTAGGAGTTAGAACAAACATGGAAGTGAAACCAGAGTGATTGGTAATTAGGCAGGCTGATACTGGGCAGTTTGGGAGCAGGGGGGACCTGACCCAAATTTGCCCTCAGCACCAAGGGTCTTGAATTATGGCAGCATACAAGAATAGAAAATGAGGGGTGTGTGAGTGGCTCAGTTGGTTAAGAGTCCAACTTTTGGTTTCAGCTCAGGTCATAATTGGAGGGTCATGCGACTGCACCCACACTAGGCTCTGCACTCAGCAGGGAGTCTGCTTGAGATTCTTTCCATCCTCACTTCCCTCTGCTCTTCCTACCTCTGGTGGTCTCTCTCAAATAAATAAACAATTAAATAAATAAATAAATAAACAAACAACAAATAAATAAATAAATAAATAAATAAATAAATAAAATCTTAAAAAAAAAAAAAGAACAAAAAATATGGCAAGAGCCCACAGGAGGTAGGGGAGGACTGAGATCCTATCTAAAGGCCACATTTCCAGAGAAAAGGTCCAGAGAATGGCACACAACAGCAGAGAGCACCAAGAGTGGTGAGAGGAGCCAAGGAAAGCTAGGCAGATGCCAGGCCTTGGCCAAGCAGCCCAGGCATCAGATTACCACTTAGTGGGGAAACTGAAGGGGTCGGCAGTGAATTTAAGGTCAAAGCCCCATTTTGACTCAAAGCCAGTGCACTGGCTGTCGCATCTATTGCCCAGTATTAACTCCAGAACACTTCCCACCAGTGAGATGGGGCTCTGCTTCCCAAGGTTTCCCACCTAGAGTCCCTGGAGCAGAGGAGCCAGAACCTCTACTTCCAGCAAGGCCAGGATGAATGGTCTAAAGTTATCATGTGACCCTACACTTCTCTAAAACCTCAGGTTTTCATTTTCAGTGGTGTAATCTTTGCAGTGTAATCCAAAACAAACTATGTTGATGATAAGTCTTCCAGGGGCCAAGAACTCCAGCTCTCTGTCTCACGTGCCAAGTTCCACATGTCCTGATCTGAGAAACCAAGTCGGTTAAGGCTTCAGAGTGAAGTCGACAGTGATGTCGGTGAAGGAAGGGTTAAGAGTCAGACCAGATATCAGAAACCTGGAAGGGAAAAAAAAAAAAAAAGAAAGAAACCTGGAAGGGGTCCTCCTGTAAGAAGGGGTAAGGCAGGGAGGATGAGAGTCATGGTTTGTAGGTGGGTTGGTACCAGCATGCTCTAAGAGGCAAGGAGACTCCAGAGAAGGAGAAGCTATCTACCTCTTGCCATTCTGTAGACCACCTCAGGGAATTCTATCCTACAATTTTATTGAAACCCTCTTGAACCAACTGAAATGTTTTAAGTTTCCACTTCCTAAATTTATTTCTACTCAGATACTACTTACTTTATCAACTAAAACAAGCAAACAAACAAACAAACAAAAACTTACCTAGGGATGGTGTACAACATATTCTTACCTGTTCCACACGTTATAGAATAAATACAAACTTTATTTGCATATTTACATTAAACAATATCTTTAGTTTGATAGTTTAAAAAAATACAAATCCATGTAACCAAAATGCTTAAAGGATTTGGTCAACTGAGCGTTGACTATTTTACCCATAAATATGAAAATTCGGCCTGTCAAGATGGTTTTGCAAGAGCCATATTTGAGATATTTGTGGATTTCCATGAAGGTTGACTCTTCAGACTATGAGATCTAATACAACACTCAAATTAGATATTAAGGGAAAAGTGATTTTGCAACCCCAAGTTAGGACCTTATATAAGATACACACTTGAAAAATTCTGAGTACTTATTCAAAATCAAGTAGGATATGTAAATAACAGTACCTCAAGTGCTTTTATAAATAGCAAACCTATACTTTCACAGCTATAAGCAAATGATATCTGTATTTCCCTGAGGGCATAGTTTGAGTTCAAGGGCAGTATGCAAGTGTGTGTGTGTGTTTCCTGAAGCCACAGATTGCAGACTGTGGTGAAGGCTAAGAAGAGAACATTATCTATTGATGTTCAGGTGTTCTCAGCCTTCACAGGACCTGCTTCAAAATCCAGTCTGCAGTGCCAGGATGTCTCACATGCCCCACCCTCAGCCCAGGGCCCTTTGCCTCTGGCTGCTCCTGCACCTATCTGCCTCATCCCCCTGCAGGTGGTATTGGTTATGACAGCTACACAAACTAAAATTTTGATTATTTATCTATTAATGGAAACTAGATTTTAAGAGCTTCCCTCCCTGGCTAGTGCCTAGAAGCTTAAATCCTGAAATGCTTATAATGTTCCCCCAAATTACTTGGACTGTTTTCTTTCCCTCAAAGCTGGTGACTGGCAGCTTTAAGTGCAGAACTCTGTGTTTTAACAGGTGTAAACTGTCTGCCAACCCATGCCATTATTGAGAATTTCTATTTCTTGAGGGCCAGGCATCTGAGATTCTACAATTTAACTGCCTATCTGGTGAAATAAGAATCACACAGAATCCTTCTCTTGCCTTCATTTAGATATTCTGAACTAGTCCTGAAACTTGGGTCCTGCAGTTACAACCAGATTTATAACACAGAGATCTTAAATCCTCATTTTCCCAGAGTAGGGCTTGTCCACTGAGGGTACAAAATTTGCTGATTGCTCTTATCAAAGGACTGCCAAGACAAGGAACATTCTTTTTCCAAGGGAAGCTCTCTACACATGTCATTGATTTTGTCATTTGTTATCTTTTTGGAAGTTCTTCCCTGAAATTGTCTTTGTAAATGTTTCCTCCTATAGCTCATACATGGTTTCTGAAGGTGATCTCAAAGAAAGTCAAGTATGTAAGCAATGGCCACATCATTGACCCAAGAGCACAGCTTTCCAAGATGACCATTGGAAGGGCAATAAAGACATGGATGTAATCTCATAACTTCACATATATTTCATTTTTCTCTAACTTGATGAAAAGAAAAATTAAAATGTTGACTAGAGGCTTGTTTACCAGTTTATTGAGTGTTGGGAGGGGGGGTTTGTGTTTCTCATGGGTGTTCCCAAAGCTTGACAAACAGAACTCCTTGAATGTTTGCTAAATGGAACTAGATTAAATTGTTTCTGTTGAAAGCTTCATTAAGGTTATTAGTGCTCATGAGTACACTACTTACTGTAATGTGTTCTAAATTTCCACAAATATGTTCATATTTTCCCATCCTACTCTTCAGAGCAGGGAGCTCAACCTAACCAGACGCTCAGGCACAGAGCTTTTCACAGACTTACGTGTTTATATTTATCCTCAATGACCTACGTATACATATAAATCTCATTTGTAATGTTCCAAGTCTTTTTTAAAAAATCAACTTTGAACTTTAGTTTCTTCTAATCATAACGTTTCTATGAAAATTCAACTCACTATCAACTCTAATACCTCTAACTTCCCAAACTACTCAGAATACAAGCACAATCTGCCACATCTAACCTGAAATAAAACTCTGTAAAGAGATTTGAAATCATATGATGAAAATAAAACACTGAGTAATGCAGTTACTATGTTGTTACCATTGTTGTTGTTTTTTAAGTACAGCATATGAAACAGGATCTCTTAATCTTTTCCCCAATTTGGGGATTAGAATGAATTTCCAATGAGCTCATTTGAGAGCTCTACCTCTTAGAGTGAAGGACAGACCCTATTCTTTGAGTCAAAATAGTGCCAGACTGATCCAAAAACCAAAAAGAAGGGCTTAAAAAGATCCTGAAAACAAGGTTCCAGGGAGGTGGGGCCTCAGGGACACAGACTCAAATCACAGTCTAAAAAAGTAGTAAGTATACAGTCAAGAAGAGTCAGTCATTCCTGCAGTGGCCAGCAGTGGAGGGATGTTTACATTTATTTATTGATATATATCTCAATCATCCTGAGTCTCTGGAAAACCCTTTCTATATTGCAATACAGTTGTTGGCCATGAAAAGGCCAGTGCACTGGTTTGTGCTGAAAGTACAATTTCATCTGACAATGACAGTTCTAGTCTGAAATGTACCTCCGTGATCATAAGAAATAGAGGTTTTGATGGGGGAACACCTTTTATCTCTTTCAAAGCACATAGGTCCTCCCAGACCCATTTCCCAGTCCTGTCAGATGGAACAATATATGAGACACTCTTGACAAGGAGCCAAAGGCTCTAACACTAGGGATTCCATATGGTTTAAATGTAAGGAAAAAAGAAAAGAAAAAAAAGAACTTTATTTCCCCGCCTTGCTGAGTGAATCCTTTAGCAAACTTGTCAGAACAAAAAAATGAGCCAGTTTTTGTTTCCTACTTGGAGATAGCATGACAGAACAGGACTGACTTGCAATGCAAAGACCTCAGTTTACACTCCTGGCTTAGCTACTTACAAACTGAATGACCAGGGGCAAAGCACTAAGTCTTTCTGAAGCACAGTTTCCTCACCTATAACACAGACATTATAATATCTGGTCACCAGGTTGTTACAATGGTTAAATGAACTGATATACAGAAGTGCCTGGCACAGAACCTGGCACAGAACAGGTGTGTCCTGAATGTTAAATATTCTTCTTTCCTCCTGAGGTAGGTCATGCAAACATTCCTGGCTGGTCTCAAGTATCCCAAAGCTGTGACTTCCAAGGAACCCCCACGGGGAGCTGCAGGGAGCCCACGTGAACGGCCTGTAGCTCAAGCCCAGTCTACTGTCTTTAGTGGGATGAACTTGGGCAACAGGTGAGGAGGGAGGTCTCCTGGCATCCAGTCTAGAGTACCAGGGGCTCCCGTCCTGCGCCCTCCCACAGTCACACCGACACTGCTCCAGGCACGATCCTCCGGATATGGGTGTAAGATTTCCTGATGGTGACACTGCCATGGTGTGACACCCCCCGGGGCAGAACACACTCCTCCGTCAGTTTCTGGGCCTCGGGGTCCCAACATAGCACGGTGGCGATGACCTCGTTCTTCTCATCCCGCCCCCCAGTGATGTAGAGTCGGTTGTTGCAGGGCGCGATGCCACAGCTGGCCCTCTCATGGCTGAGCTGGGTCACCAGGCACCAGCTGTCCTCCAGAGGGCTGTAGGCGTATAGTGCTCTCATGGCCCCTCCTGAAGAGGAAGGGAAACACTGGGCATTCACTGTTTTTCTGGTTTTCTTCCCCTTTAACCACAAAAATCCTACTTCTGTTAGGTCAAATCTACCATCTTGCCAATAGAAAGAGTAGATTCATGGCTCTCCAGAAAGCTCGAATGGATTCCACCAGTCTTATGCTGGAAACAATTCAGAGCCCTTTAAACTTTGTGGCCAGGCATTAGGTTCTAAATGGACAATTAGCTTCACATGGTGCCAAAATGTACCCTAAGATGGCTCCCTAGAAGAAATACCATCTGGTGCATCAGGTGCATTCAGTTTGTAATCTCAGCTCTACCACTTTTTTTATTGTAACCATAAGCACTGACACTGTGGTGGTTTTAAGACATCAAAAGGGACCATGTGCATATGGCCCCTGCAGAAGGTCTGGTGCATAGAAACTATCAACACATGGCAGTGACTAGAGGTGGTGGCATCTTTTGTAGACTGAGCATGCCCTGGGGCACCAGTCCAAATTACTACCTGAAGATGAGCTTTGAAGTCATGAGGCTGACCATAAAGAATCAGGGAACCTGAAGCAAGGGCTCCCTTAATCCGTCCCTGTATTTTGCCTCTGGGAAGCCTTCTCCAATTAGCTCTTATTTGCTGAAATTACGTATTTTTGGCATCTCCTAAAATCAGTGACTCTCAATTGTGGCTGCGCAGGAAAACCACCTGCACATTAGAAACAACTTGCACTGTTGGTCAGCATCCCGTCTCCTTGTGATGTCATTGGTCTGGGGTAAACCCCAGCTATGTGCATTTCTGTAAAAAGCTCCCTAAGTGATTCTCATGAATAGTCAGGATTGAGATCATCCTTAACATTTACATGCCAACTGTGGTCTGGCCAGCCAGCCTTTCTTTTTGGCTAAATGCAACTTTTTAGAGCCCTCAAATCAAGTGGAAGGAGTAAAATTCTCATGAACACAATATAAGAAATAATGATAGTTATCATTTATCGGTCACTTGATAAACTGTGCACATTTCAATTTCTGTACATTTCTAAAGTTTACAATACACTTTTTTTCCTGTAGCAACTTCTGGCTCCTCCACTGGGCCCCAGTGTCATGTCCCCTGAAAGTGGGCTGCTTCTGCATCCAGGACTGCCACGGTAAATTCCACCAAGGCCTGGACCAATCCCATCTCCTCTTCCTTTTCAACTTCACCCAAATCACCCGGAATCTGTGAGTTCCCAGGAGGACCTTATCTGATCTACCTGCATGGCTGCATGGGTGGGGAACCTCAGCTAAATAAGATGCCATTCATTCACTTACCAACAACATAGATGCGATCCCGGAAACTGACTGCATTGATGCATTTAGCCTCCACTGGCATGGATGACTTTAAATTCCATTTATTGGTTGAAGGGTCATAACACTGAGTCTTGTCTGTGGCCAGTTTCCCATTGGGCCCGCCCCCAATCACATAGAGCTTCTTCTTATGGCTGGTGGCTGCGAAGGAACTGACGTGGACAAGAAGGGGCGCTGCCTGCAGAGACACAGGGCACCAGGAGAAGTTGTCAGTCACAAATTGCTGATTGCTACAGTAGCTCACAGGACACAGGCCAGGAGCCAGAGGACATAAACCTGGGCATCCTCTGACTGAAGTCACAAGCCTGTGGAGGGTTCAAAACACACATTTCCCACCCTCCCTGTGGGCTCAGACACAGACTAGAACAGGCTGAGTGATGGATGTTTCCAGCCTCTGTCTTCTATAGTCCAGCTAATCAGGAGAGGAAAAGTGTTTATAGGAATAATTGTTTCTACAGATGAAACCAGCCAATGTTGGAGGAAAATGCTTTCATAGACATGCATCTTTATATTCATTCATGTGTTCTTTCATTCAAAAAATATTTACTGAGTGCCTACTATGTGCTAGGCATTGTCCTTATTGTTTATGTCTATGAAGAAAAGCTGGTATAAGGGTTTCAGGTGGCCATAGGTATGTGGACTCCCAGACTGGGGCAGCATGAAGATTCAGGTATTAAGCCAGACTTGTGCTTCCACCCTGTGAACCTTCTGGCACTCAAGAGGACTTCCAAGAGCCTCTTTTCCATTGATATGGCCCTCTTGAGTCATAGAGCAACTCTGTAATGGGACTTGACAAGTTGACAAGATCTGAGATACACTGCCATAAATATTAAGGGCTATACAGAACCCACAGGCATTAGTCCTCTCAATCCTCTAGAAGTTCCATTACATAATACTTCTGTTCTCTTAGGTTGACAGATCTTGGCTAGATGCCATGATGACCTGGCTACCTTTGCTTGTGTCTCTGATGACCATGTTTTACACTCCCCAAAGTGGAACATATTCTGACATATGATCTGATAAGAAGAAAGAAAATCAAAAAAGAAAAAAAGAAGGAGAATAAAAAAGAAAGAAAATCTGAAATTGGGAATAACCTGGAAATATAGGAAGTGAGATCACTTTACTATTATTATTATTATTATTATTATTATTACTACTACTGCTACTACTACTACTACTACTACTACTATTACAAGGATACTCAATATGAGATCTACTCTCTTAGCAAATTATTTTTCCATGTCAGTCGGGTAATGTGCCAAGATCTTAACAAGGTTTGAGGGAGGCATATATCACACAATGGTGTGAACACTCTACTATCACACTTATACACTACAGAAGGATTTCTCTAAATAAATTTTTAAGTATAAAATGTAGTATTGTTATCTGTAGGCAGTTCTCCAGAGCTTATTCACCTTGGATAATTGAAACTTTATGCCCACTGATTGGCAATGATATACAGCTGAGGTTGAATTGCTAAACAACATATATATGCAAGCAGCGTATAGATGGTTTATCATCAATAGGCAAATAAATAAGGGCTGACCTCTAAACACTACCATATGACTCTGACTCAGTAAACAGTGTAGTAAATGGATCCCTGTATGCCCACTGTGGCGACAACAGGGCAGATGGCATCTGAGAAGACAGAGACTCTGAACTAAGACATGCAGACTGTGGTTAGGACCAAGCCCCACCTCTAAATCTGGGGCTTTTGGCTGGATAGACAGGTGTCTACAAGAGCTTCCCCACCTCGAACGAAGCTGTTTCTATGACCTGATCAGTAATGCCGTAGCAATGGCTCCTTTTAGGAGGGAAGCTCAGAGCCACCAACAATGTTCTCAGTGGGAGCACAGAGATGAGAAAGCCATATACCTATATTGGCATATACTTTTTTTTTTAAAGCTTTGAAGTATTAATACAAAGTTACTCATAGAAATAAATCTCCTATACCTCTGACCAACAGTTATGGAAGGGATCATAGGTCTCCACATTGTTGATCCTCTGCAAGCCATCAAAACCTCCAATCACGTAGACCTTGCCACCTAACACCACCATCTTATGCCTCCAGCGGCCAATGTTCAAATACTCAATTTGAATCCATTTGTTGATTGAAGAATTATATTTCCAAACATCGTGCTGTGTTTCTTTGCCACCTAGAAGAGATACAGAACATTTAAGAAACCACCAGGTATGTCAGAAATAGAGCTTCTTCCATAATTTCCCATAGTCCTTAAGTGCTATATCCCCAGGCCAGCTCCCTCTAAACAAAAGAAATCATGAAGGCATGTGAGGTCTGGTTGGGGAGACAGAGCCAATACAGGGGAACAGAGAGAACCAGTGTGAGGCTGGAGCGAATCATGTACCAGACCGTGTCATGTGTCACCTCTGTGCTCTGAGTTCAGAGAAGAGGTGGCTGAATGAGTTGGGTCCAGAGATGTCTTCAGGGAAGTGGCACCCAAGTCCACATGGGTGGGTAGGGGACAACAGGAGCCTGGACTTGGTATCTGTGCAGCCTAGGGACAGGAATAAGGGCAGGACAGGTGAGGTTGGACTACTGTGGTGGGGATAGTAGGGCCTTGACCAGCAGCCAAATAAGAAGGCATCTTAAGTTCTGTTTGCTTATTTATTTAGATAAATACAAACCTGGAAAAATCACCAAGAAATCTTACAGAATTGTCTCAGTTCAAATCTCCAATCTATACAAAAACTTAAGTGGGATTTGTCCTATTGTTAAATAATTTTTATTATAAAAGAATGAGGTGCTCACAATAGATAATTTGAGAATGAGCTGGTAAATATTTTTTTTTTCAAAATCACTCTCTTAATAAACAGAAAATACATAATCCAGTTAGGGAAAGAGACCAACACAAAGGAGAACTGACTTTTTTGGTGACTTTTTTTTAAATTTTTATTTATTTATGATAGTCACACAGAGAGAGAGAGAGAGAGAGAGAGAGAGAGAGAGAGGCAGAGACACAGACAGAGGGAGAAGCAGGCTCCATGCACCGGGAGCCCGATGTGGGATTTGATCCCGGGTCTCCAGGATCGCGCCCTGGGTCAAAGGCAGGCGCCAAACCGCTGCACCACCCAGGGATCCCTTTTTGGTGACTTTAATAAAATATTTTTACAGCTTTGTGTTTCCATTTCCCATCAGCACAGAGTACCACCAACTACTTAAAGTAAAAGATGCACTTTTCAGACTTATAAATGTGCACGAGTGGGGCAATATGTATCACTGATGATGCTCTGTGTCCTGGGTAAGTGTTTCTCTAGGATAAAGCTCAGAATGGAGATTTGTCAAGAGCCTGCCCACGTTGAATTTTTATACGTGTTGCCAAAGAGCCTTCCATAGCTGTCCTGGTTGATCTTCCTCTACCCCACCCACAGCATATATTAAGAGCATTTTTCGTTTTGTTTTATAAGCTGATGGAGAAAAATAATGTCATAGTTTGGTTTTTCCTGGTTGCTAGGGAGACTAAGCTTCTTCTTCTTCCATGAAATGTTTGCTCATATAGTTTAAACATTTTTCCTTGGGTTGTATAACTTTTAGAGGCCTCTATTCAAAATACCGTGTGTGATATTGATCCCATTTAGGCAGTGTCAAAAATCATAAAACAGGGGCGCCTGAGTGACTCAGTCGGTTAAGTAAGTGTCTGACTCTTGGTTTTGGCTCGGGTCCTGGTCTCAGGCTTATGAGATAGAGTCCCGTGTTTGGGTTTCACGCACAAGGGGGAATCTGCTTGAGAATCTCCCTCTGCCCCTACCCCCACTCATGTGTGCTTGCTCTCTCTCTAATATAAAGAAATAAAATCTTTTTAAAAAGTTATAACTATGTGCTTTCTTTTTTTAAAGATTTTATTTATTTACTCATGAGAGACACAGAGAGAGAGAGAGAGAGAGAGAGAGAGAGAGAGAGAGAGAGGCAGAGACACAGGCAGAGGGAGAAGCAGGCTCCATGCAGGGAGCCTGATGTGGGACTCAATCCCGGGACCCCAGGATCACACCGAGCCGAAGGCAGACACTTAATCGCTGAGCCACCCAGGCATCCCAACTATGTGCTTTCAAAGAAATATATGCACACTCTATTAAAAAGAAAAAAATCTATGATTTTTACTTCAAGATGTAAAGGAAGACCTGATTAAGTGGGACACGTATCATGTGCATAGATGAGACAACATGTTATTGCAAAGATGTCAACCTTCCCCAAATTAATCAATACATTCAGTGCCTTCAGGACTTTTCAAGGAGCTTGAAGAGGTTATTCTAAATTTCATTTGGAAGAGTAAATTTGGAAAAATTTCTAAGAAACTTTTCAAAAAGAATGAATGAGGCTTTTCCTAGCAAATATTGAAATAGAAAGCTATGGTAATAAAAGCACTGTGGTACTGACATAAGATGAGACAAAATGATGAAAAACAAGAGTACAGAAGAGACTGAAAGATATAAGGATCATTAAATAAATGGTATTAGAACAGTTGACTATTTGGAGAAAAATTGTTAGATCATTCTTTCATATTACAGTTAAAATTTCAAAAGTAAATGGCATAAAAGTAACTGGAGAATATATAGGAGAAGATGTTGATGATCTTAGGGTGGGTAGGGGCTTTCTAAGCATGACAGGAAATATAGAATCACACAGGAAAGAAAGTTACTATGCGAAATGTAAGTCAAAGTTAAAAGATAACCATAGTCTGAGAGAAACTATTTTGCAATACAAATAGCAAAAGATATATATATATATATTTATATAGATAATAATATTTATATATTTATATATATAAAGACATTTATTTATTTATTTATTTATTTATTTATTTATTTATTTATTTATTTATTTATTCATGAGAGACACAAAGAGAGGCAGAGACATAGGCAGAGGGAGAAACACGCTCCCCACAAGGAGCCCAATGTGGGACTCAATCCCAGACCCTGGGATTACGCCCTGAGCCAAAGGCAGACGCTCAACCGTTGAGCCACCCAGGAGTCCCAAGCAAAAGATATGTAATAAGAGCTCCAAAAAATTAATAAAAAGTCAAACAATAGAGAAACATAGAGTAGGAATAGATGATTTTTTAAAAAAATAAAGTGTTGGCTAATAATATATGAAAATATGCTAACATCATTAACGATCCAATAATGTAAATGTAAATATTCTAAGCTATTAAAAAATTTAATTCACAATAAAAAATGTTAGCAAAGATGTAGAAAATGGGCACTGTCTTTCAACACTGGTTGAACTGTAAATTGATTCAAACTTTCTGGAGAATAATTAAGCAATACCTATAATTCTAAACGGACATATCTTATGACCACCTCCAGGAATCTTGCCAAACAGCAGCACAGGTTCATAAATATAAGTGTATTAAAATGCCTGCTGCGGAATGCCTCAGTGACTCAATTAGTTGAATCTGACTTTTGATTTTAGTTCAGGTCATGATCTCACCGATGTGGGAATGAACCCCATGTTAGGCTCTGTGCTGAGTGCAGAGCCTGCTTGTCTTCCTCTTCCTTTGCTCCTCTCCTGACTGTGCTCATGCTCTAAAATAAATAAAATCTTTTAAAAAAAAGTTTTAAAAAATAAAATAAAATGCCTATTGCAGCATTTTTTTCCCAGGGGGAATATAAAAGCTGAAAAAAAAAAAAAAAACCCTGTGTTTTATTCATTCCATAGACTGCCATATAGCTGGTGAAGAGTGCCAGTATTGATGATGATGGATAACACTGCTGAGTTGTCCTGTGTGCTTGGGGACTGCACTTTACATGTATTACATCACTTAATCTATATGATAGATCCATTATATCAACACGTAATGATGTCCAAAATAGATTGCTAGTTAAAGTACAATCTTCCATGATTTAACTGTGTATAACAAGCACACCTTCATGCATTGGTTGTATCATTTTTCTTTTTTTTTAAGATTTTATTTATTTATTCATAGAGACACACACACACACACACACAGAGAGAGAGAGAGAGAGAGAGAGAGAGAGAGAGAGAGAGAGAGAGAGCAGAGAAGAAGCAGGCTCCATGCAGAGAGCCTGACGTGGGACTCCATTCAGGGTCTCCAGGATCACGCCCTGGGCTGCAGGCGGCGCTAAACCGCTACACGACCGCCCGGTTGTATCATTTTTCAACAGACAACAACAAATCTAAGTGAGGGGAAGGACAAGCTGTAGAATAACACAGGTAGTGTATGTGACAAAGACTGACTATGGTTACCAAACCCGTCTTTTCCTCCTGGGCACACAGGCAAACTAAATTTCCTAGTCCCCCTGTATGGGGGCTGGCAGTGCAGGGGGAGCATGTGGCTAGTTCTTGCCAATAGAATGTGAGCAGAGTGATTCCTGCTGTCCAGGCTGGGGCTATTATGAGCGGTGTGCCTTCTCAACTCCTTCAGAGTCTCTGTCTTTCTGAAATGCATCCTCCTTTGAAGGCGATGTGTGGAAAATGGCAGCATCTCTGATGGAAGGAGCCTAGGTCCCTGAATGACTGAGTGAAGCAGATCCACTCTCCCCAGGGCCCACATACTATTGCAATAAGTCACTATGATTTAGTGTTTGTTATACAAATTAGCATTACTTAGTCTAAGACAATATAAAACTATTTTGTAAAAAAGTTAAAGGTATAGTATTGTAATGGCACAGTTGAAACTGCCATATTTTACTGTATACTCCCTATATTATTTGAATCTTCTACAACAATCAAAAAATATTTCTACATGATAAACAAAAAGCTATGGTATTAACATACCTAGGGAAGAGCTGATCTGACCACGATTTTGGATGAAGTCAGTTCTGGGAAGAAGCTCTTCCCCAAACAACCTCAGATTAGACAAAGCCTCTGAGAGAGGGCTTGACTCCTCCCTTGGGGCCCCAAAAAGAGCTGGGTGGCTTCTAACATCATGGGGAGAGCATGGGACTCAGAGAACCTGGATTGGAGCCCTGCCTGACATTTACCAGTCCCATAATCTTTCAGAGCATGTGTTTTCTCCATTTGTAACTCTACCTTATAGAGTTGATGTGAGAAGCAAATGATTAAGTGCCACTAAAGTATAAATGCATCTACTGTGCTGTAAAGGTGGTAGAGACTTTGTTGCTTAATAAATATTAAGCATTTACCATGTAGCCAGGTGCAGTGCAGGGTAATGGCAGGATGGTATTGACTCCCCTGGAATTTAAGGACTAATGGGAGTCACATAAAAGTATAATTGTAAATATGCAAATAACTTAGAAGTGAGAAATGACAAAGTACTGTGGCTACTGGAGCACTGAAAAGTATGACAGTAAACTTGAAGTGAGGTTTCAGGTTTGGGCAGAGGAACAGACATTTTTATTCATTACTGCATCCCCAGGGCCCAGTTCATTGTCCTACATCTCTAGCAAATATCAGATAAATTCTACTATCACTTTCCTTCTTCCTTTTCCATGAAGTACCAGAACTGTCTTCCTGCTCCCCAGATCTCGTATGATACTGCTCACAGGTTAGTGTCAGTTAAGTAAGAATGTGCTTCCAAGATAAGACCACCTGAGCTCCTGGTTTCCACATGTTGACAGAGTCAGAGCTAGACCACTGCCATTCCCAGTAATTCTTCTAAGTTGGTTGCCTGGCTCTCACTCAGGAAAATACATAGTGCCACTGGGGGCTTACTTTGGCATCATGTGGCTCCTGCTTACCTGAGATGTAGACCTCATTTTTTAATGTCACGCATGCAAACTCCACCCACTTCTTATTCTCACTCTCCAGCTCATGCTCCGTCAAGGGGAGCTTGGCCACCTCCAGGCGGCTGCGCCTCAGGGGGTCCAGGCAGGTTACCTCCGCCACAAACCGTTCATCCTTCGTGCAGCCGCCAATGATCATGAATACCTCAGACTGAAACTCATGCATCCTGGGCTTGGTGCGCTCCGAAATGATCTGGAAAACCAATGGGAGTATGTAAAGGCAGGAAGACACAGAGGTTCAGAGCCCAGGCTACAGAGCCAGACAGAGCAGAGCCCAGTTCCCAACTCTGCCACCATGTGACTTCACCTTGAAGTTCCATTATCTGTGTAATGGGGACTTTAGTGGTAACTGTCTCATAGGTTTGTGTGAGGATGAAATGATATCATATACATAGTGTGCCTGGTCTGCAGGCAGGTATACATAGATAATAGATACTGAACAAAGATTACCTATTGTTGCTTTTGCCACTATCTTAGGAAGTCCAGGTTCATTTACTATCAAACGCACTTCCCACTTTACCCTTCCTGCCTGGTCTGAAGGCTTGAACCCTGGAATGTTATTTCTGGCCACCTTCCACTCCCTCCTGGTTTTTTTTTTTTTCCCTTCCTGGTTTCAATTTCTTGATGATATCCCAGACTTTGCTCACTACTAGACCTCTTCTGAAAGAGAAATCCTGACGGTAGGCATATAAGAGCACTTACAGACTTAGGGGAAAAGAGCCAAAGAGAAGCACAGTGTGGCTGGGGATGTTGAGGGACTAGACCCCTACATCAAAGATATGACCCTTCAGAGCCTTGAACAAGCAAAGAAATCCGCACCACAGATATTTGAACCCAACTGAAAGAACAGAGGTTTGAAAGTCAAGTACATCAGAGTTTGGTCCTTGTTTCACTACCTATGACTATGTGACCTTGGAGGAGCAACACAATATATGGCTGTAATCACTTCTATGTCAAGAAATCATTGTGAGCATTCACTGAGGTTTTGATGTAGAGGGATGAGCAGAGCACCTGGCATAAGCACAGCCCTTAATAGATAGTCACGGCAGTAGGAGCAGCTAGAGATGTCACATTGGCATTATTAGGGAAAAGGGAGAGCTGCCCTCCTCCTGGTTCGATCCACCCTCTGGACTCAGTGGGGAAGGTTCCGCAGGTGGGCTTGTGGGGAGAGAGCCAGCACCCATTTTCCAGATGACCTGCAAGCTGAGGCTGACCTAACACAGGCAATGAAACTTCAATCTTGACCACAGATGTGACAAACAAGTTACAATAGCAAAAACTAACCCCCTCAAGTGGTGAATCTATTTTTTTAAAAATTTATTTATTTCTTTATTCATGAGAAACACACATACAGAGAGGTAGAGACACAGGCAGAGGGAGAAGCAGGCTCCATGTAAAGAGCCTGATGTGGGACTCGATCCTAGGTCTCCAGGATCACACCCCGGGCTGCAGGCAGTGCTAAACCGCTGCACCACCAGGGCTGCCCTCAAGTGGTGAATCTAATCAATGGTCACAAGTAAGCAGATCAGTCAACACCCAAACTCTACTTTTCCATAAGAGACTTTGGTTTTCTGTACCAAAGAGTCCGATACAGTAAATTTTGCATCCTCAATTCATGGCCATAAAGCTTGTCACAGGGCCCCCTTTTGGAGGTTGGCAGAAAGAAGTGGGGCTGTATGGGGCAATGGGCAGAATCTGAGGGTGTGAACAGTGGAGAAGACAGTTGGAGTAAGAGTGGGAGGGGCAATCCTAGGAACCGGGGGTACTGTGAGGACAGTGGCAAGACTGTCAAGGACAGGATCTGAGCAATGAGTTGGCACCAAAGACAAATTTTGCCACTCTGTGATTTTCTTTCCAACTATCTGCCCTGCTTCAAGGCTCTAAGTCTCTCTTTCCCACAGTTGAAATGCAACCCCTAACAGTAATCTGGTCCTTTCAAAAGGATTAGGGATTATGGAGCAATGCTTAGAGGACAGCATTAGCCTTCCAAATTGGTCCCTGTGTGACCCTTATTCAAGCTTTGAAAGCCAGGTCTCTTCTTCACAGTGGCTACCCTCCTGCCTCAATAACCTGCTGGCCAATAGGGGACTGGACGAGTTGTGATCTTACTCCTGATTCCCAGGCTGGTACCCCATTCCTGAGTCCTGGGTTTTGTGGAAGACTCTGCTCCCATTGACTGAAACCTCTGCATTCCTGCCTGCTATCTAGGTATTCCCACAATATCTGTCCTTGATTTCCCTCACCACCTCCCCATCCACTTACCCTTTAAGTCACTGGCATTATTTGTAATGTCTCTTTGTCCTTTCCACTAAAAAGCCATTCTTGACTTTCGACACATTTCCACAGCCCCGGATTTCCCCATCACAGTACTTTTCATACTTCCTTGTAATTTATTATAAGGTCCCTGATGGCAGGGACAGCCCTTATTCTCCAATGAACAAGTGCTTGGAGGTTGTGGGTTTCCACAAACATTTGTTGAATGAGTGAATGAATGAATGAATGAATGGGAGAGCTAGGTAACCCAATACTTTTGATATAGACTTTTTTTCCAGTCCAAATCACTGTTGTAACCAGCTTCCACAGTGGGGCCCAGGAATTCTCACCTCAGGGTACTTATGCTTTATGTTCCCCCCACAGTGTTCAGGGTTGGCCTCTATGCCAGTGGAATAAGGCAGAGGTGATGGTTTATCACTGTTGAAACTAGGCTATAAAAAGCACAATGGCTTTCATCTTGATTGCTCTCTCAGTCTTTCTGGGGCCATTTGCTCTGGAAAACCAGCTGCTATGGAGAGGCCCACATGGCAAGAAACTCTGAGGCTTCCAGCCAACAACCTGCAACAAACCTGTCAACGATCCTGTCAACAATCCTGTGAGTGAGCTTGGAAGTTGATCCTCCAACCTTATTTGAGCTTTGAGATGACTGTAGCCCCTGCCAACAGTTTGACTACAGCTTCATGAGAGACCCTGAGCCAGAATCACCCAACTAAGTCATGCCTAGATTCCTGTGAGCTGTGATATAATAAGTATTTGTTGTCTTAAACTAATGAAGTTTGGGGATAATTTGTCATACAGCAATAGATAACTAATATAACCATCTAACTGATGGGTATTAAGATCTACCTTATTACTTGGCACCAAAGAACTCCCAGGTGGTCACCATTATCAAACTGTAAATTCAGCTACATCTGACAAAATATTAACCCCAAAGGCACAAGTGCCAGTCTGAAGTGAGATGTGCAAGTTTGTTGCAGACACATGGAAGTGTTTGCTAATGAATCATATGCAACAATCAGGCCTAACCAGTTTCTTTTCAGATTGTTAAAAATAGAACAGACAATTGCACCTTGCTGACTACTCATTAACAGGACTTACACTAGGGGACCAACAAAAGTGACCGTGCTGCTTTTCAACAAAGCTGTCTTTAAGGGTGAGCTTCTGCTCCACTCAGGAGGAAGAGCTACCACACATGTCAGAGCAGCCTTTGGTATAAATCAAGGTGGTTGCTGGAAATTTAGGAGGCAATAAAATAAAGGGGAAACTATCTCTTCTCCAGAAGACTTCTCCTTTTTTTAAAAAATTAATTTATTTATTCATGAGAAACACACAGAGAGAGATGGAGACAGAGGCAGAGGGAGAAGCAGGCTCCATGCAGGGAGCCTGATGTGGGACTCGATCCCAGGTCTCCAGGATCACACCCTGGGCCAAAGGCAGGCACTAAACCACCAAGCCACCCAGGGATCCCCAGAAGACTTCTCTTAATGAAGGTCCTCGCTACCACTCCTAAATCAAATGCAGACTGACATTTGCTTTTATTTTTCTTAAATATCCCACTATTGCCACCTCCATAAGCTTAGAGGAGGAATAAGGTTAAAGGGGGGAGATGATGATAGGATAAAAAAGGTTTAATTTGGAAAAGGAAGGTTAAGGGGAGAAGTGTAGTCAGAAAATAGCCTTCAGACTTACACTACTATTAACAGAAGTAAACCCAAGATCATTCAAGCAGTGAGCAGACAGGGAGTTTCAGGGAATGAACTGGCAATTAGACCCCATTCGAAGATTACAGTGGTTGGTTGGTTCATTTACCAAGATTGTAAAAATGGAACGAGAAAGTGGCAGCAACCCTAGGACACAAAGAGAAATCTTAGCTTCAGAGAAAGAAAATGGTTGGTTGTGTGAGATAAGCACCATAAAGGAACTGTGAAAGAATGAGAACAGTCTTTATTTGTGAGGCATTACCATGTACCAGACAGGGTGCTAACCACATCTTATTCATTATCCTATTGAATTCTCAAAACAATTGTATCAGTTGGTGGGCATTATTATCACCATGTTACAAGTCAGGAGGGAGCTTTCAAGCAGTTAAGTGTCTTACCCAAGGACACACTGTCAGTAAATTGTGCAGTCAAGATTAAAACCTAGATCTGCCTAAATGCAAGCCCAGGTTCTTACCACTGGAAACTCTCCCAGATATCAGAATTCTCTCTTCTCCTAAATACAAAACTCATAATCCCACTCTCCCCCACACTGCAAATACCAGAGTCAGAGCACATACTTCATAGCAGCAATTTTGCAGAAGGCATAGCAGAGATATTTTACATCAGCAGAAAATCTTTATCACCTGCATTTTGGGGACTTAGGAAAAAGGAAGCAGAAATAAAAATAGCTAGAATACTGGAAGTGTAGTTGATCAAGACTCTGTACTTTAAATGCTGAACTGAGATCAGTTGCAGAGACAGACACTATCTGCAGTTTTATGAGGGCTTTGCTACACAGTTCTGAGCCATCTGCCAGCAACCCATATACCCAGCATAGGGTAGGACTCATATGGTTGCCTGGATTCCCTCCATCAGTCTGCTCAACACTGTTCATTTGCCTAGTATCTGGGCTTCTCTGACAGACAATAAATTTCACAAGGCAGAGACTGTTTTTGTAGTGCCTGGTGCCATATCTGGCATATAGTTAGTATTCAGAATTTATTTGCAAAAAATACATACATAGTATAAGTATAGCTTATTAAAATATATGGGATACTGTTGAAGTAGTATAAGGGGGAAATTTATAGTACTATTGACAATACTAGAAAAAAAGAAAAGTTCTCAAATCTATGACTTCAGCTTCCACTTAAAAAAAATAAAAGTAAACCCAAAGTAAGCAGAGAAAAAATAATTCAAGATCAGAATATAGGGACATCTGGGTGGTTCAGAGTCTGTCTTTGCCTCAGGTCATGATCCCAGGGTTATGGGATCCTGCAGGGAGCCTGCTTTTCCCTCTGCCTATGTCTCTGCCTCTCTCTGTGTGTCTCTCATGAATAAAATACTTTAAAACATCAGAATACAAATAAATGAAATAAATCATAAAAACAAATGAAACCAAAAGCTGTTTCTTTGGAAAAACTGATAAAATTGATAAACCTCTAACTAGACTGATCAGAAAAAAGAGAGAGGAGACACAAACTATGAATATCTGGAGTGAGAGATGTGACATCACTATAGATCCTACAGATATCAAAAGGATAATAAAGGAATATTGTGAGCAACTTTATGCTAATAAATTCCACAACTTCTACGAAGCGGGGAAATTCTTTGAAAGACACAAACTACCAAAGTACATTCTAGAAGAAATAGATAGCCCTGTATCTATTAAAGAAATACAATTTGTAGTTAAAAACCTCATAAAGGAAACTCCTGGGATGCCTTGGTAGCTCAGTCAGTTGAGTGTTGGACTCTTGACATTGGCTGCAGTCGTGATCTCAGGGTTTTAAGATCAAGCCCCATTTTGGGCTCCCCGCTCTGTGTGAAGTCTGCTTGTTCCTCTCCCTCCCCTACTTGCATTCTCAATCTCTCTCTAAAGTAAGTAAATAAAATCTAAAAAAAACAAAACAAAACAAAACAAAACTCTCCTGACTCTGATAGTATCACTGGTAAATTCTACCGAACATTTAAGGATATATTTGCAGAGTGAATTGATGACAAACACAGAACTGAATTGAGGACAACACAGAACTAGAAAAGGACACACAGGAAAAGGATGAGGCTCCAGGGGCCTCAGACAGACAATTCCTAAACCACTTGTGGCTAGGATCTCTATCAATATCTTAATGAAGGGATCCCTGGGTGGCGCAGCGGTTTAGCGCCTGCCTTTGGCCCAGGGCGCGATCCTGGAGACCTGGGATCGAATCCCACGTTGGGCTCCCTGCATGGAGCCTGCTTCTCCCTCTGCCTGTGTCTCTGCCTCTCTCTCTCTCTGTGACTATCATGAATAAATAAATAAAATCTTTTAAAAAATATCTTAATGAAGGTTTGGTAGCCAATCTCAGAACTATTGTACAGTGCTATATAGGTGTGTATGTTCATGTGTATAAACTTAACACACTGTCCCTATATTATTATTTCCTGATGGGTTTGTTTCTCTCCACTAAGACTATTTTTGTCTTTATGAAGTTTTGAATAAAACATTTCTTCAGAAATTGTTAAGGAAAATCTGGTACATCCAAATGATATGTATATTCATCATCTTGGTACTCATTTATCCATTCAACAAACATTTACCAACTGCTTACTCTATTCCAGGGAGTCTCCTAAGGTCTGGAGATGAAAAGTGCAGTAAGACATATTTCTGACCATAACAAGCTCCCAGTATAAAGATGTTTACAAACAAGGAAGTCAATGGTTACCATGTAGCGGTTGGTGCTATGATAGAGCAATGCACTAGGTACAATGAGAATGAGAAAGATGTAGCTGGAGTAGAAATCAACTAGATGAAGACGGGAAAAAGGCACCAGAACAGCACCTGCATTAGTGGATAAAAAGGCACATTCACTTTGGGGAACTGCAAGGAGTTCATTAGCAGGAGCTTAGCAAGAGGGAAAGGTTGGAGATGGCGCTAGAGAAGTGGGTGGGAGGTGAAGTATTAAGACAAGGCTCTGGGAGCTTAGGCAGGAAGCGTGTGGGCTTTACCCTGAAAGTCAGGAGGAGCCATGAAGAGGGTAAGCCCAAGAAACAATAATTGGTCTGAGTTTTAGATCATCCAATTGGTGAATGAACTGGAAGGAGGCCAGACTGAGGGCAGGAAGGTGAGTTTTGAGGAATTTTCAGAAATTCAGGAAGGAAATGACAGAACCAAGGTAACGTCACAGGATATCCATGAGACTTGAGGTTCTCCAGAGTGGGCAAAGTAGGAAAGCTACTCTGGAATGGCAACTGGACAGGGCACATTCTGTCCTGTGTGTCACCCCCCACCAATCACCACCCTTATGCACTCAGAAGAGGATGATGTGGCCAGGCATGGTGCTGAGTGAGATAGAGAATCACTCATGTCTTCATGAGAGATACAGAATTTCCTATCTCACTCTGTCCTCTCAGTAGCTGTTTATGATGTAGTAATTTTACAGATCAGAAATCCAGGGCTTCTGGAACTGCCTGCCTCAAACCATAAACAGTACAGTGTCTTCTTCTCCATACCATAAGGATTGGTACACACCTATGCTTCGGTGAGGCCACTGTCTCCTTTACTTCACTGCTTAACTACAGTGCCACCCTTTGTCAACTCACCTCATTGCCTGAAAGGTGATACATCCTGGCTTCCTGAAGCAGTGGGAAGACCTCTGGGCACTGCCTGATAAGAGGATCTGCCTCCACTGTCTCCACGAAGTACCATGGGTCCAGAAGTGGCAAGCGCACATTCTCAAGTACATAGGGGAGCAAGCAGAGCCGTTCTGACTGTTTGTGCCGGACCCAACTCATCACAGTCTCAAACACCTGAGCCTCTTCTGTCACATAAAGGTCATCACTCTTCAAGATGTGGTACAGAGTGTCCACAGGAAGTTCGAGGAACTCTTCGGAGTTCAGAATTTGCACAAAGTTTTGAATGATGTAATTTTGAACCTGCTTTTTCAGACTGTCCAAGGAGTGTGTGTCCGCCAGCCTTAGTATTCCCACACAGTTTTCTGGATTCAAGGCTTCTGTTAGGAAGCTGGCACAGGCATCCACCATCCGCAGGAACTAAAGGAACAGAAGGGAGGCAAATCAGGCCAGAAAACCATTAGTCCACAGGGAGCCTTGTCAGTGAGTTGTGTGTAGTGGCAAAAAATTGGAACAACCCAAATGGCTGACGATAGCAGCTTGCTAAAGAAATGATGCTACATTCTTATTTTCCACAACTCTGTAATCACTAATACAAGTAAAAAAGATTGTTAAAGGATATAGAAAATGTTCCTAATGTATTGAGTTGAAGAATCTCACTGAATCTGACCAAGCCTCTAGATTTAATCAGCAATTTACAAGAAATATAGCAAAAAGAGGAATATGTTAAATGACACCATGGGAATATACAATCAGCAAAATCTGGACTGTGAGAAACTTTACAGAACAACTAGTTCAGTTTCTTCAATAAGCACATCATAAGGGGAAAAGAGAGAGAGAGACAGGGAGGAGGAACCTAAAAGTGAAAAGACATGGAAGAGATACAACAACCTCGTGCAATGTATGGACCTTATTTGGATTATTATTTATTTTAAGTGTGATAATGGTATTGTGATTATGTTTCAAGAAGAATCCTAGTAGAGATACATACTAAAATATTTGAAGAAATGAGAAAAGCACTTCATAAAATCATAGGTACACTATGATCTTATTTTTATAAAAAATATGGAACATAGGCATAGAAACAAGACTGAAGGGTACACACCAAAATACTGACAGGTATTATGTCTCAGTATATCAGGGATCTTAGGACAATTTATTCTGCAGTAACAACCCCCACATCTCAGGTGCTGACGAGAATAAATGATTATGTCTCACTCACATTCCATGTCCTACAGGGATCTTCATTCTAAGACCCCGAATAACAGAAAAGTTCTTAGCTGAGATATGCCAGTCTGGTGACATAGGGAGAAAAGAGATGGCAGAGCCACATAAGGCATTTAATTTTAACACTTGAGCTCAGAAGTTGCACATGCCATCTCTACACACACTTAATTGGCCAGAGTAAGTTACATGGCAAAATTTATAGTCAAGGGAAAAATAATCCTTCCATAGAAACAGTCCTGCAGGGGTAGAAAGGGAAGACATTGCATGAGTAACATAAGGTACCATATTTTCTAATAAGACTGAGAATTTTCCTTACTTTTTTTTTACATACTTTAAAAATCTCCTAAAATGAGTAAGTAGCACTTTCGTAACATAAACATTCATTTGTAAAATTGTTGACTTCTATGTCTTTACTTATTTTTATTTTTTAAAGATTTTATTTAGGGGGATCCCTGGGTGGCTCAGCGGTTTGGCGCCTGCCTTTGGCCCGGGGCGCGATCCTGGAGTCCCGGGATCGAGTCCCGCGTTGGGCTCCCGGCATGGAGCCTGCTTCTCCCTCTGCCTGTGTCTCTGCCTCTCTCTATCTATCATAAATAAATCTTAAAAAATAAAATATTTTATTTATTTAATCATGAAAGACACAGAGAGAGAGGCAGAGACATAGGCAGAGGGAGAAGCAGGCTCCCTGCAAAGAGCCCAATTGGGACTTGATCCTGGATCCCGGGATCCCGCTCTGAGCCGAAGGCAGACGCCCAACCACTGAGCCCCCCAGGTGTCCCTATGTCTTTGTTTTAAATTACCATCATCCTCATGAAAATAAAAGTCCCATATGCTTATATAGCATTTAACCGTTTACAAAGCACTGTCATGTCCATTATATTATTTAATATTCATTTTACAGTTGAGATGTCTAAAATCCATCAGTTCATTCTTTTCTTATTGTTTTTAAATTTTAATTCCAATATAGTTAACATACAGTGTTTTATTAGTTTCAGTTGTACAATATTCAAATGCATCAGTTCATTCTTACTCATTGCTCTCTAGAGCTTAGCTTTGAACAAGTCCAACTTCCTATCCTCCCCCCTTGTCTCCTGGGCCAGTAAAGGGTCAAGTTCTCAGTGTTTGTGGGTTGATGAATTAACAGAAGGGAAAGAGGAAGGCTGAGTGGAGAGGACATGGTGGGGAGGGCTGGTCTGAAGGCAGGGCCCAGTGAGAATTTGGATGGGAAAGACCCACAACGGAAGGGGCACAGCCTGCAGAGGAAGCACTTCTATGATGACCTGAGGGTGGTATGGTTGTGGGGCCTGAAGGGCGGGGCAGGGCTGCTCTTAGAGTGAACCATATTGATTTAGGCTCTCACCTTCATTCCAGAGCATTCTAGGGGACCCACATCTCTGAACGTTGGGTGAATCCCAATTGCAACATATTATATTTCCATGTCAGAACACTGGATCCAATAGTCGGTTTAAAAAACATTGATTGAGGGTCAATGAAAATGTTAGAAAAGCTTGAATTCTGCCTCAGCCCGCTGTGTCTCCTGGCCTCAGCCATTGCCTGCAGATATATTCCTCGCATGAGCAACTGTAGAAACGGTTGAGACTGAGAATTCTAACATCTGTTTAGTTGTTTGCAGATTTTCAGTTCAAAGAGTAAAAATATACAACCGAGACGAAGCCTTGCTGAAGCCTCAGAACCTGTCACCAGAGCCCTATGTGGCCCTGCCCACAGAGACACCTATGAGCTCTAAAAGGGAACTCATTTTTAAGGCAGCCTCCAGGGCAAAGAGCAGGTATGCTATACCAGTATTTGGGTGAGAAGAAGATGATATGAAAATTAAATAGATTTTCTAAATATGTAAACTGTCTCTGGGAGACCACCTAAGAACCTGGTAACAGTGGCTGTCTCTGGGGAGGGCAGCTGGTAGCTGGGGACAGGGTAGAGAGGAAGACTTACTTTTCACCTATTTGTACTCTCTTGCATTGTGTGCCATGTGACAGAATCACCTATTTAAAATACAGTTTTCTCATAAAAATAAATGAATAAATAAAGTTTTTTTGTGAACAGAGAAAACACTAGAAGGTAACATATCAAAATACTATCCATGTTTATCTCAAATGCAGCTTTAGAGATAAAGTTATTAATTTGTCTTTTATAAACTTTGCTGTTTAGAACAAATGTTCTACACTGCATATGAAGTTTCTTTTTTATTTTTATTTTATTTATCTATTTATTTTTTTGGTAGAGAGAAAGTGCAGGAGTGGGGAGGGTGGGGGAAAGGGAGAGAGAGCATCCCAGGCAGGCTCTAGGCCCAGTGCAGATTCCAACACAGAGCATGAACCCATGACCCTGAGACCATGACCCAAGCCAAAATCAAGAGGTGGATGCCCAACTGAGTCACCCAAGCGCCCCAAAATGAGGTTGCTTTTAAAATCAGAAGAAAAAAAACCTCCTTGTGATTTTTCAAGTACACAATGAGAAAATTTTAAAAATGTAAAAAGCAAAGAACACTTCTTATATGCCACCCCCTTTGTATTACCCAGATAACTGAATCTTCACAATACTATAAAGTAGGTATTTATTATCATTCCTGTTTTATAGATAAGGAAAGGTTGTCCAGAGAAGGGAGGTAATTTCCTCAGAAACTTATAGCTAACCAGAGGTAGAGCTAAAATCTTAGCCAGTCTTATCCAATTCCAAAAATGCATGTTTTAGACCATTTGAAGCTACTTCAGGTTAAATAGTGTGTGCACAGGACAAGGGCTTAACAGATGCCAATGATGATTTGCACACTTCACCATAGAGAGCTCCAATAATCTGATCTGCCAAAGGAAGGCTTGGCCGACAAGGTGTTAATTCGTACCCTTGCTTAATGACTACTGATAAGCAAAAAAGGAAACCATGGAAAAGAATCAAAGCAAGTAATGGAGCTCACATTTGTTAAAAACATTGTTCTAAAGTGTCCCTCCCCATCCAGAAACTGTTAATCCCTCCTTTCATCCACCTGTTAATTTCCAGAATGTGCGGACGCCTGGGTGGCTCAATGGTTGGGAGTCTGCCTTTGGCTCAGGGCATGATCTAGGGTCCTGGGATTGAGACCCACATCAGGCTCCCCATAGGGAGTCTGCTTCTCCCTCTGCCTATATTTCTGCCTCTCTCTGTGTGTCTCTCATGAATAAATAAAATATTTTTAAAAAAATTTCCAGAATGTGTACTGAACATCTGTTATGTAGCAGGCCATCAACCAGTGCTGGGAGTATAGAGGTGAGCAGAAAGAAATGCAGTGCCTGTGCTCATTGGACCTTACAGACAAGTGGGGAAGGCAGACTTTAATCAAATAATCACACAGTGCCAAATTATAACTGTGATAAATGCTATATAGCAAAGTTCAGTGATTTCTCTGTTTAAAAGTGAAGACATAGCCTTATTCCTACCCCTGTGCACTGTCACCAGGACTCTCTCTGATATATACAGTCAACCTGTGTACTCACCTTTCCCCCAATATTCTTAAGCTTGCCTGTCCCTTTTTGTACTCATGCTGCTTCATCAGCCTGGACCAGCTTTCTCCTTCATCACTATCTGCTAAAATCCTGTTCTCCTTGCCCAGGGAAGTTTGACTCCAGAGCTCCACTTTTTTTTTTTTTTTAAGATTGATATTTATTTATTTATTTATTTATTTATTTATTTATTTACTTACTTACTTACTTATTTGACAGAGACAGAAAGAGAGAGAGAGAGAGGGAGAGAGAAAGTAAGCACACAAGCAGGGAGAGCTGCAGAGGGAGCAGGAGAAGCAGGCTCAATGTGGAACTTGATCCAGGACCCTGGGATTATGACCTGAGCCAAAGGCAGACACTTAACCGACTAAGCCATCCAGGTGCCCCCCAGAGCTCCACTTTTTAAGAAAGGACTCAGGATAGATCATCCCAATTTCAATTGAAAAGGCTCCTTTCAAGGTAACCTCAAAAAAAAAAAAAAAAAAAAAAAAGAAGAAGAAAGGGGGGCACGGAAAGAGTACCATGACCATCACCTTATCTACACAGGGTTGCTTTCTTCATTCAAAGTGTTAAATCTGGGACTGACTGACAGATGGGCTCCAGAGTCTGTGAAGCCCTATAATGGTGTGCAAACACATGTTTGCACATGTGGCAGTTTCTTTGAAATTGAGTTTGCAGGAGACACTGTGATCTGCTCTC